CTGCAAGGTCAGGAAAAAACTTGAATAGATGAGGAGCTGGCTTTTTATGGATGAGCAAAGTGATCTCTTGAGATAGACTCTACTCCTCCTAGTGAAGATGCTGTGAAGATTGTTGAAATGACAACAAAGGATTTAATACAGTTCCCCCTAAACCTGGGTGGGCTTTGGAACCACTGGAAATTTTAAAATATACAGAGGTTTTGATGGAATTGCTCTGGGGTGAGGCCTGGGATTTTTGAGCTCCCAAGGCGATTCAAAGGTTAGAGTTTGAGAACCACTGTTCTACCCAAGTACTTCCCAATGTGTGAAACACCAAGTAAGCTCCACGTTTCCTATCAAGCAGTGGTTCTCAAACTTTAGCATGCACCGGAATCACCTGGAGAGCTTGTTAAAACAGATTCCTGTGCCCCACCTCCCAGAGATTCTGAATCCTTAGGCCTGGGATGTGGCCGTAGAATTTACATTTTTATCAGATAGTTTCCAGATGAAGCTGACACTGCCAGTTCTGGGACCACACTTGGAGAACCACTGTCTCAGACTGGAGCAGGAGACCTAGAGCTGCTGCCTGGACCTTCCTGAATGGATAGGCTCCCTTAAGACTTTTGTCTTACCGTTCTCCCCTTTCAGTAGGGGGAAGTTAAGTCGTCTGAATCTCATTTCAGTCTTTGCTTTACCTGTACACTTCAGGAAACGTTGCCTTAGTGGTACGGGCTCCAACTATGCCTGGGTGGAAAGCCTCTAAAAATAAGGCCCATTAATCATGAATTGCCAAAATGCTTAGGAAATTGCTATATGTAAAAGGCATGTTATTTAACTTCAGTAACTAAAATCTGTAATGCTCACGTAAGTGTGTACCAAGTGGATGTTACTTACATGTACTTACAATTTGCATTCTATCTCTAAAGGCGAATTATCTTATTTCATATTTTTACTAATGCAATATCATATTTTTACTAATGCAATTTCAAAAACTTCACATTGAAAGCAGCAAGACTCAATTACTTTATAAAACTGCAAGGCAGCAGATTAAAAAATGCCTTCAACATTTAGACTTGTCTCAAGGCTAGGCTTACAACAATCAACAATAAAACAGTACTGAGATGTTGCACTCAAAGCATGTTACACTTGAGCTGAAATGCCCTTTATGCTTGAAACACTTTGTTAAAAGTGCTATATATTAAAAAAAAAAAAAAAGCTTCTGATTGCCTTGCCTCTGGCCATGCCAACAATGGAAATCATACTTCGTTTATTATTTGTCAAATGAAGCTAAAGATCTCACTGGACAGGGAGAAAAGTAAATGCACTTCTTGATATAACCAATATCCTTGCTCCCTGGGCCACTGTTTTCCTTATATAAGCAGATATATGAGGACAGCCCACCTTTTCAAACTTGAGCCCAGTATTTCTAATAGAGGTGGGAGAGTGGAGAGAAAGGAGATTAGAGACTCAGCTATCTACAAACAGCATGTTTCTCAGCCGTGGCTAAATACAGGAATCACCAGGGGACACCTTCAAAATGCCCAAAGCCCAGGTTGTCCCAAGAGCAATTACATTAGGATATCTGGTATAGGACCGGGACAAGAGCAATTTTGTGACGTGCCCTAACCATCCCCTGAGTAAACCGCTGTTCTCTAAGGAACCACATCACCAAGATACAACTTTGTTCTTTAGACGATTGTCAGGCCCCTGACATTCTCCTTTAGAAAGCAAAGAAAGCTCTGAGATAAAAATGATAAACAGCTGAGAGAGAAAAGGAGCAGTAGTTTCTGAGAAAAAAATGCTTCTGAAATACTTTTATTCTTCAAGAAAATAGCCAAACTGATGAACGAAGGCAAGTGTATTTGAATCTCTGTGGTTTTACCAGGATGTCAGTGTTCTACAGAAGATTAGGCCAAGAAGCAATTCAAATGAGCTCTATCGAGTGGATCTCAAACTGGCTGGCAACGGGTAACAACAAAGCAACCTCCTCAGGTTTAACGAGGGCTGGACAGAGAGTGAAGTGACCAAAACTGAAGGTTATTTAACATTGTTAGCTGTCTTTTGGGAAAAAGCCATTAATTTCCATCTTCTGGGAACAGCACATTAGTGCCTTCTCAAGCTATCAGGGGAAGGGAAGACTTGCCTGGGTTCTCCTACAGGACTCCTGTGCGGGGCAGGCCCATACTATTCAATCTGCTGAAAGTACAGGAGAGAATCCACCTCAACCACTGTCCAGGGATTCCATCATCCAAAAGCAGGAATCCACAGAGAAACAGAAAACCATAAAACCACAGAGCTGCAAGGGTCCTGCCTCCCAGAATGAACAGCGATTGAGAGGATGGGCTGGGATGCTAGACTGGAGTTGAATTTGCAGTGTCTCCACTGTCTGATCCTGGCTAAGTTAGCCCCCCAGAGTTCGGATTCCCAGGACAGAAAATGAACCTAATGATATCACCATCTTGTGGGATCGTGAGGATTAAATGAACTGAGATGAAGTGTGTAAACCACCTCGTGCACGGTGTAGCAAACAGTGGACGCCTGAGGAAGTGATTCTTGTCCTTTCTGTAGGGAAGGCCCAGGAATTTTAAGGGACTCTAAAAAGAGGGCATGAAGCAGAAATCACCATCTTAATTATTTTACAGGGATTAAAATAAATGTTGAGGAAAAAGTGATGGCTGAAGTTTTTCTGAGGTTTGTATTATTCTGGTACATTATAATTATCAAGCCCTCTGCTGTGTGCCGGCTACTGTGCTAGGCAGTAGCCTCTGGCCCCCGGAAGCTCTGGACTTCTCAGAGATATGAATTCGTGGGGGAGAATAGAGGAGGAGCCCCTGAGCCAGGACCGGATGTCAGAGAAGGCTTCCTGGAGAAAGTGAAATTGAAGCAGAAAGTTGGAACATGCCTACGTGTCAGGGAGCTAAAGCAGCAGCTTGGAGAAGCTGGACGAATATTTTAGTGTGAGAGAGAGAGAGAGAGAGAGAGAGAGAGACAGAGAGAGAGAGAAGCACATACAAAGGCCAGCAGACAGTAGGAGTGTCCTAAAAGTAGGAGAAGACAGAGGATGAGAATGAGAGAAGACAGAATGAGGGGAGATACAGAAAGGTAATAAAGCAGGAGCCCGAAAGGCAGATCTGGTCGGGGGTTTGAGTTTTAGGAGCATTTTGCAATGCAGAAGAAGTACTCTGGCCACAGCCGTGGTGTGGTGAATGGAGCCAGACACAGGCAGACTGCAGCCAGGAAGATCCGTGTCGGGAGATGAGAGAACCCTGCAAGAGTGCTGGAAATGTGGACGGAGAGAGGAGGACGGTGTCAAGCAAGAGCATCCGCAGAAGTAATAAACTGATTCGAGTGCGAGATGAGAGGAGTTTGACCTTCTTCTTACTCTTCAGAGCGGAAAACGCAAGGTGTTTCTCTAAGGCCTTCGGTAACAGGAAAGGGCCAGGGTTGCTATTCCTGTTTCATAGGTAAGCAAGTTTAGCGAGTGTGGGGATGAGCTAGCATGAAAGCCTTCATTTCTTATCTCTGTTTACATATTCAAAATTAGGCAAATCTTCTGGAGGTGGTGTGTTAGAACTTCTTTCTTATGCTATAAAAAATGAATAAAGAAACATTAACAGGCTTGAAATCCTGACACAGGATACCATTTTCTCATCAATATATTCTCACATGAATGAAGTATGTTTACAAAGATGTAGGTAAATTAGAAACATAATAGAGGTGACAGACGAGTCCTAAAGCAGAAGACGGATTTTTCAATTTCTTAGTTTATCATCCTATGTCTGAGTAAAATGTTCTTTTGTTATTGAAAACAATTTTTTTTTAAAGATTTTATTTATTTGATAGAGACACAGTGAGAGAGGGAACACAAGCAGGGGAAGTGGGAGAGGGAGAAGCAGGCTTCCCGTGGAGCAGGGAGCCCGATGCGGGACTCGATCCCAGGACCCTGGGACCATGACCTGAGCTGAAGGCAGATGCCTAACGACTGAGCCACCCAGGCGCCCCGAAAACAAATTTCTTCAGATAAATGCTTTCTGTGAGAATCTTTGTGTTTGAAAAAGCTCATCACACAGCCTAGCCATCTGAAATTAGATGTGAGGCAAGACCCAGAAAGTTAATTAGCACAGGGCTAACATTTACTGTAACTAATCATTTCACATCTTCGGCCATGCGCATTTTCCATTAAATTCTCACAAGAAATAAAAAAGATCATCAATATATATTGTGCACAGCAAAGTGCTAGTCATTTATATCTTAAATTGCTTGCGGCATTCTGACTGGCTCTTGATAAGATTTATAATTCTAAAATGAGTCACTTAATGTACTGTTTGCTAAAACTTTCAGGAAAATCGTCGCTTCTGCCTGTTAGGACTGCTCCCCGTTTCCAGCCACAGTCACCCTATCTCTTGCTTTCAGAACGATGCCAGGACACTCAGGATCTGTATCTCCGTGGCCGCTCTAGTTCTTAAATTTAAAGTCTACTAGTGCAGAAAAACTGCCGCAACACCTCTTCTCTATGAGAATCTATTACCGTGATTTGAAATGTGGAGTTAAAACAGGTCTTTGTTCACTAGCCTTCGGCGAGTAGTTCCACAATTGTTTCCAATTACCTAAACCATTTCTACAACAATCAGCCTCAACTTCTTTAAAAGTTAGAACCACCTGACTTTCACTTTAGGAAAGCTTTATTAAGAGTGTTGGTTGGAATTAGGTTTAATTTTGTCTATACGGTCAAGGTGCCATACAAGCGGGAGGTGAAATGGCACGGGTGCCAAGATTTCCCAAATGGTGGCTCTTAAAAGATGTCCTGGGAAACAAGCTATGCTCACGGAAGAGGAAGTTCCCAGTCGTGGTCAGAAAACATTCCCACAGGTTAAACTGGCAAAGGACAAATGCAAAAATGGATCCCAAAAGAAAGTAACAGCAGCAAGGGAATTACAGAGCAGGTTATTAAACCGTGTTATTAGTCCTTGCTGGCAGAGCATGGCAAAACATTTACCTTCCTTCCGGAACTTTCAACTTACCAACTTAAATGTCAAGGTTTTTAAAGCTTTGGGATCATCTACAATCTTCTGTAAATTAGCAGCCACTGAAAAATACAAACGTAGAGAAAAAGTGTCCAAATCATTTACAGTAACACTGGATTTTCACATCAATGATTCGGAAAATCTGACTTCATCATGCAATAAGCTGCAAAATTATTTCTTTCACAGGCATTACAAAGTCCATATAAATCACCAAATTAGTCTCACATTTTCTACACTTTATATCTTCAGTGCATCTGAATTCATCACTATACACTGGGCCCACATTTCATACGACAAAATGGGAAATTACTTTCTAGTGGAAAGTAGAAGTGATGGCAGCCAGCCCCCAGTGTTCTCGACCTCTAGGTTTTTCTCGACACCCACACTACGAAATTTATTAGCCAGCAGAGGGAAGCACAAAATAGAGGCGAGGTATTGCAAAGAACAGGTTTTTCTGAAGAGAATTTCAGTGCCTTTGAACCCCTCTCCTATTAAATTCACTCAATTCTCTGCACCCATTTTTATCAAAGCAACAAAATACAGTGAATAACCTCTATGACTTGGGCATCTGTGTTCATGCTCTCAGAGCACAATAATCTGTCAAACCAGTGAAGAGCCACCTTGAACAATACCCAAGTTGGCTGAACGGGCGGCAAGCACTAGAGGCTGTCAGTTTGGAGTTCAGTAGTGAAGATATGTTTCAGTATTAGTGAGATTCATCAGAGACCCGTCCCATCTTCCACAGTGTCATGATATATTTGATACTCTGGCAAAGAAGTCCGCTTTTCCTGCTTACTCCCCTGGCTTAGACTTAGGGTACAGAATTATCAGAAGGTAATGATTACAGAAATTTAAAACCTTGCTCTTTCCATATCCAAATCTAAAGTCTCAAGTACTGAAAATCAAGTAAGCGCTGCTGGTTAGGGAAAAAGAAAGGACTACTGAAGAAATGAGAGAAAGTTCCATGTAGCATTTTTATTTTTCATGTGGAAAGTTATCTGCTGCTTCAGTAATTAGGTATCTGAAAAGTTATGTGACTATTTTAAGATTAAAAAAATTAAGATAAATATTTTGAGAAAAGTGTTTCAAATAGAAAGTCTAAGTAAAGAGAAAAATCTGCATATTTCATGTTTCTCTAAGGTTGACTAAAAACAACCTAGAGACACGGATTTTCTGCAGATCAGTTTATTTCATTTAATCCATCAGCTGCAGAGGAAAAAAAAAAAGAAAATTATATCCTCAATATGGCCTATTTCTCTTTATAAACCATAATTACAAGCATCATTTTATCTTCATTTGTTGCCCTTAATACTTCCACTCTGAGCTATCTGCAAAGTTTCATTTATGGTAACTCCCCATCCCGCCCCATCTTTTTCTCCAAGCCAACCTGCACACATGTCAGGTAGATCCTGGGCCACCACCCTCAACAGAGTTATCATCACCAAGCATCTTTTTGGCCTCCTCCAGCAGCTTCCTGAGCATATTTCAGATGCTAAAATCATCTAGTAATCCACACAAGAAAAACACTGGGCTCATGGAGTGAAAAACCTTGGCTGTGAAATTCTGTTCACCAAAGCCAGTATTTATGATGTCAGGGCATTCTGACTGGACGCAAATTGCAGCCAGTGCACACAATCACTATTTTCTTAAAACATAAAAGTGTCCTAATAGTTCCTCTGATTTGGGCTGATTTCATGAGTCACCACAATGTCTTCCTATGAATTTCAGTCCTTTCATTAGAGGCTCTCAGTTAATGTGGATGATTTACCACCCTGTTCTGGGTCATCTATTTCCAGTCTGCTCTGTAATGTTCCGCCAAAAGCAGAGCTCCTGTTCTAGACTAATTCACAGCCCTCTCTCTGGTGTGCATGCCTATGTGCTAGCGCCAATCTCCAAGGAACATGGCTACGCAAGTTGTAGACTTGGAAAGGGCAAAGCTGAAATGCTAGCATCTTCAACAATCATCCAGGAAACCACACTCCCCAATTGTGAGCCCTACACCTCAGGGACATTAGAAATTCAAATTCTGTCTTCGACTCAAAGCAAAAATAGCAAAACTGGCCACTTACCTGATTACTTATCCCAGCTGCTAGGCTTATTTTCAATTTAGTTGATTCTAATTTGTTGTAAAGTGCTATAAAATACCTTCATTTAACTGACATCACATAAAATTCAAGGTGATGCTAATTTCTCTTCCACTAGCAATGCTCATTAAAAAGATGGGTGTCACTGTTTTCTCCCTTCTCCTGACTGCGCACCTGGATTTCAAAAATAAAAATGTGCCTTACCTGGAACGTGAGCGGAGAAGGAAGGGTTGGATAGGGTTGGTTAACTTTAGAGCTTCTCAAGTATGTGCTGGTAACACTGAACTTCATGCTTTAAGGTGCTTTAGGTTTCCGCAAAATATGGGGCTTCTGAATCCTGCCTACTCAGTGGCCATCCACTTATTTCCAATCCCTCCTGGCTTTCCCAAACAGAACTCATTCTCCTGTTTTCTGATGCAGACGGTTGTGTTCCTTGAGCTTGCCCCATCCCACCTCCCCAGCCCACTCTCCTCAGTCACTGAAGTGGCTCTGGTTCTTGGCACAAAGGACACAGAAAACACTCACCGAAGTAGTAGGGATTGTCCCCTTGCCCTAGTGCGGCAGCTACAGGCTACCTTGGTGTGAGCCATCTATTTCTTAGCTATTTTGGGGGGGGTCTCTGTGTTACACTTAGGCTTGAATCCCTATCAGCGCTAGGTGCTCTTTTTGGATAACATTTGACCTAAGGTACGGTAGGTATTATGCTTCATGAAACTATAATAATATCATTAACAACCACATGAAAAAGACGCCAATGCTCAGTACCTCCCTATTCGAATCCAAACAGAGATGGAAATAACATTGTCCTGGGGGTCATCTATCAGAGGCAAGACAGCAGAGCCAACATTTCTTTGGCAAACTAAGTCAGGCATTCTCCAGACCCTGTTTTCTCTATAAACTCCTTGTACTACTCAGATTCTCCATATTTGGACAGTTAGAAAAGTAACAGTTACATAATGACTATTTACCGTCTGTGTTTGCATTACAAGTGATTAGTGGAAAGATACACTTTTCTCCCCAGATACCAGTGTATTTCACAACAATCTCCTATAGTACTGATGTTCTGGGGGCCGTGACTGAATTTATCTAATTTGAGCTATTCCCAAACAAAAGCTGTGAAGAAAAGCACCCCAGTGAACACCAAGTCCAACGCACTCCCCAAGAGGAAATTCTGAGAGAAGACAAAAGCACAGACTTGGGCTACCTGACAAGGTGATGTCACAATATTGTTTGATCCAAAGACACATCCCGAACATCTGCTCTGTACCCTGCATTGCTGCAGAAGGTCAGCAGAGGATTGCAAAGCAAGAAAAAGACACAGGTACCAAAAGAGAATCCAAGCTTCTAAGTAAGGAAGAAAGGAAATGATAGGAGGGTGGGTCTCTAATGGATACCGCTGTAATGCTAATGCAAAATTACAGCTAATTATTATGTTTGGGACAAAATACAAGAGATTCGCCCTATTATTTTCCCTAAATCGTCAGGCTCTTATCTTCAGGAGATGAGTGTAGCACAGTGTGTAAGTGCATGAATTCTCCAGTCAGAGCGCCTGGGTTAAAATCCTGCCTCCTGCTTAGAGCCATGTGGCCCCATAAACTTGGGCAAGTTTACGTTCACATCTTTGTGCTTGAGTCCATGTATCTGTAAAATGTGGATATTAATAGTGCTGACGTGATAGGGTTCTTCTGGGGACTGAATTCATACACATACAGAATTTAGACTAGTGCTTGATGTATTGCAAGTAGAAAACAAATATTAGCTTACTATCTCTTTTCTGGACAACTACATATTATAACTGGCTTCCCTGCCTTCAATCTTAACTCATGAGCCCTTTTACACTCACCAAAGCGACTTGGAGAATCTAAGTCATAAACTGGGATGTGCTGCCTCCATATATAATGCCATTTAACTGTTCATATCAACTTTAGGATTAAGTCCAAGTTTTTAATGTGGTCTATGAGACCCTCCATGGTCTGGCCCAACCTATCTCTCTAGTTCATTTTCTGCCATGTCTTATCCCAGATTTTCCCGGGAAGGGCTCCATAACCACTCCCCTCCTCTAGGTATCTACCACTACTCTTCATCATTATGTGCTGAAACAACCTATTACAGAGCTTGTTTCCCCACTTGATTCAAACTCTTTGATAACCCAGACAAAATCTCAATTCACCTTTGCAAAACGTTTATCTTTGAAATACACGCACATCTACAGAGACTGATGACTTCTTCCCACTTCCATTGCTACTACCCAAGTACAGCTGCCACCTTCTCTCATCTAGACTCACACAATAGCCTCCTGTCTCCCTGCTTCCATCCTCAGTCCTCAATGGCTCAGCCTCTACCCAGCAGTCAGATGAGCCTTCTCCAACAGTTTTGCCTTTACGTTGTTTGAAATTGTTTACTTCTCTTCATCTCTACTAGCTCCATCCCATCTCATCCATAAGGAACCAGAAAACTTGGCTACTTTTCACTGTTTTTCAAGAGATGAGAGTCAAAGTCACTCTGCAGATAAACCACCCAGACTAGCATAGGTGGTAGGATTCATGACTTAATACCTATTCTTCTCAAACTATTCCAAAAAATAGAAGGAAAGCTTCCAAATTCATTCCATGAGGCCAGTATCACCCTGATACCAAAACCAGATAAAGACACCACAAAAAAAGAAAACTACAGACCAATATCTCTGATGAACATAGATGCAAAAATCCTCCACAAAATACTAGTAAACTGAATCCACAATACATTAAAAAAATCATTCACCATGATCAGATGGAATTTATTCCTCATCCTTCACAAATCAAACATGATATATCACATCAATAAGAGAAAGGATAAAGACCATATGATCATTTCAACAGACACAGAAAAAGCATTTGACAAAGTACAACATCCATTCATAAAAGCCCTCAACAAAGTAGGTTTATTAGAGGAAACATACCTGAACATAATAAAGGCCATCTAATGAAAGACCCACAGCC